ACCAACCCTTTTGAGCCGCTAAAGTAATGATAGCTCTAATTGTATCAAGTCGAGCCACAAGAGCAAATGTTTTTTGGAAATCAATTCCAGGTTGTTGTGAATACCCTTTTGCTACAAATCTTGCTTTGTTCTTTTGAATAGAGCCATCCGGATTGAACTTTGTTTTGAAAATCCACTTCACACCAATTATTTCTTTTTCTTTCGGTTTCTCCACTAACTCCCAAGTCTTGTTCTTCTCAATCACATGAATTTCATCTTCCATAGCTTTCTTCCATGCTTCATCTCTAATTGTCTCTTCAAAATTTTCAGGTTCAACAATGCATAAATTGCATCTTGCGTACTCATCACTAAGACTCCTTATATTTCTCGGAGTTGAACTCGGAGATGAAGAACTTAAACTTGAACTTGAACTTGGAGAAGATTGTGAACTAGCAATTGGTGACACTCTTTGTGGAGATTCAAGACTTGCAACATCTTCAACTTGTGGACTTTCCGATTCTTCGTTGAAAGCAATGCTTTGATCTTGGACTTTCTTTTCCTTCCAATCAAAAGACACCTCCTCATCAAAGAGAACATCTCTACAAATAATCACATTCTTTTGATCCAAACTGAAGAGTCTATAGCCTTTGGATTTCGAGCTATAACCCACAAAGATGCATTTCTTACTATTTTCATTAAGCTTGTGTCTCACTTCTTTTGGAACATGAGCATAACAAATACAACCAAACACCTTCAAGTGATTCACCGATGGTTTCCTCCCACTCCAAGCTTCAAATAGAGTTTTGTCCTTAAGAGCTTTTGTAGGACATCTATTCATCAAGTAAACTGCTGTATATACGGCCTCACCCCAAAAAGTTTTGGGTAGCCCCTTCTCATGTAGCATAAACTTGGACATCTCCTCTATGGTTTGATTCTTCCTTTCCGCCACACCATTTTGTTGTAGAGTGTACCCAACAGTCAATTGCCTTTCCATTCCAATATCTTCACAAAATTTCATAAACTCATTTGAGTTGTATTCTCCACCTCTATCACTTCTCAATACTTTCATCAAACAACCACTTTGTCTTTTAACAAGATTTTGAAATTTCTTGAAGATAGAAAAAACTTCACTCTTTTGTCTCATGAAATACACCCAAGTCATTCTAGTAAAATCATCAACAAAGATAATGAAGTACTTGTTACCTATATGAGTTGGTGTATCCATGGGTCCGTACACATCGGTATGGACAAGCTCCAATGGTGCTTTAGCTCTCCATGCTTTCTCCTTTGGAAATGACTCCCGATGATGCTTTCCAAGTGCACAACCTTCACAAATATGTTGCACTTTATGAATGGTTAGCAACCCAAAAACCATATTCTTTTGTTGTAGATGCTTCAAGCTTTGAAAATTTAAGTGCCCAAATCTTCTATGCCAAAGCCATGAATTATCAATCACATCCATCTTCAAAGCCGCATTTTTGCTATATCGAAAAATGAGAGGAAAACTTCTATTTTTCTCCATCTTGATTTTTGCTACAACTTGGCTTTTCCTTCCTTTGTAAAAATTTTTGCAAAAATCATCTTCAAAGTGAACAAGATATCCATGCTCTATAAGTTGTCCAACACTGAGCAAATTTTGCTCCAAGTCTGGAACTAGGAGAACATCAGAAATAAATCTTGTACCCATCTTGGTTTCTATAGCAATAGTACCTTTTCCTTTTGTTTGGACTAAGGCACCATTCCCCATTTTTACTTGAGAACTGGAGGAAGCATCCATTTTCACAAAAATGCTCTCATCTCCTGTCATGTGATTGCTACATCTGCTATCGAGAAACCACACATCCTTGTTTTGATCTGATGCCTTGTGACAAGCATAGAACATGTGCCCTTCATTTTCTTGCTCCTCGGAAAAATTAGCTTGTTGAGTGCTCTTGACTTGGCAATCCCTCTTGACATGTCCAAGTTTGTTGCAATTGTAACATTTTGGCTTTCCTCAAAACCAACAATCTTTATCAACATGATTGCTTCGGTTGCAAATTCCACACTTTTGTTGAGTGGACTCTTCATTTCCTTTCTTTGAAAATTAGACCTTCCTCTTCCTGTTGCATTTCTTGCTCTTCCGGTTGCATTTCTTCCTCTTCCTGGTCCTTGGGAATTGGAGGTACTAACATTAAGCTTGGATTGAAAGGCACTTTCAATTGACTTTTCAGATTGCCTACTCAAACTTTGCTCAAATGTTTTAATTGAACCCATCAAATCTTCAATATTCAAATCAGCAAGATCTTTAGTTTCTTCAATGACAGCAACAATATGATTGTATTTCTCTAGCAAACTTATCAAAATTTTCTCAACAACTCTTTGATTAGTAATATTATCCCCATAAATTTTCATTTGGTTTACAAGTTCCATAACCCTAGAAAAATAATCCTTCAACAATTCCATATCCTTCATCTTTAAATTTTCAAAATCTCTTTTCAATGATTGAAGTTTTATGGTTCTTACCTTCAAGTTGCCTCTATACTCTTTCGGAAGAATATCTCATGCCTCCTTAGCTTTTGTTACATTGATAAGTCTTGGAAAGATTGCTTCTGAAACTCCTTGTTGAATAAAAGAGAGAGTCTTTGAATCCTTCTTCCTTTGCTCTTTTAATTGGTTTTTTTTGGGATTTGTCAAAGCTCCTTCATCTTCAGGTTCCTCGAACCCATTTTTAACAAGATCTCAAAGATCCGTATAGGCAAAAATAGTTCTCATTTTCACATACCAAAAATCAAAATTTTCACCATTAATGATAGGAGTAGATACATTTTGGTTGTTGGGATTTGCCATGGACGTCGGTTTGTTCTTGTTCGGGGCTTGTTTTCCCGTATCCGATCTCTATGCCTAGCTTGTTCTTGACCCAACCAAAGCTCTGATACCACTTCTGTTAGCTTTTGATAAAGCTCTCTCTAGAATGAACTATTATTTTGTATTGAATTTTTCTTTCTTATTATTCATATATTTTGCCCATAGGCTTAGATCTTTTTATATAGAGAAGGTTATACATAAGTTCAATGAATAAGATCCATGAACCTAAACAATCTTGCAATTAACTAGGTACATGAATATAATCTAGACAATGTACTTACTAAATATAAACTACATGAATATAAAAATACATAAAGAATGTATGAACTCAATGTATCCAATGTATCTAATGTAAATATGACATTAATTTTAACACTAAGTTGCATTCGAGTAGACTCAAGTTTTAAATAAGGCCATGCCATCCTAGGTATTTCCGCTCCTCCTCGGTCTATTCTTACACCCAAAGATCTCAAATTCAACTTGGCAATACAATTAGAACGAGAACGAGTCTGGAGAACGAAGAGTGGGTGACAACGCACTATTCATAATGTCCTAAAAGCAATACAAGTTCTAAGGTACAGTTATCTAAATATGAGTTAACATTACTATATTAGTTTTAAGGGTCCTGGACATCATAAGGCTTGAGGAGTTCAACCATTTCAAGGTAGTTATAAAAGAAGCGGATGATGCATCATAGAATTTTAATTTAATAGCCAAGGAAGGAAAAACCAATGATTGTAGCTAAAATGGTAGAGATAGTAAAGATGGACTTTGACGATTGCTGTGGATTCGAATGGCACCTACAAATTGCAAAAGTGAAGGACAAAAAGGGACCCCGAAACAATTCAAACACTTATCAATTTATTATTATTTTTCTTTTATGCGCTATACTTTACTTTCCATAGGAGTAACTTTAATTTGCATTTTCCAACCAGTTTATTACTTTGAAATTGTCAAAACATGTAATTAAATTATTGAGTTAGTCAATTATTTTACTTTTCTCCCTCTCATTATTTACTTAGCTTTTTAAATTAGGCCAAATTTGACATGTCCAGGAAAAGTCAAAAAGTCAAAAAGTTACTCAAAAAATTAAAAAGTTAACACTAGTCACCAAAAGTCAACAATTACGGCTGCACAACTCTCAATCCTAATTTTCTCCCATAAATCAATTTTTACAATTTTTTATTACACATTTTTTCATAAAAAATCAAAAAGTTAACTCAAACATCTATATTTTCTTCCTCAATTTTTTAGTCCAAAAAGACAAAAAGTATACTTATTTAGGTCACCCCAAACAACCCCTTAATTGTCTTGATTAATTAATTGGTTCTCACTTAAACAAAAATATTAAATTCATTTTGACAAAAAAGATGTCTCAGAATTGTTTGATCATTAATTTAGCTTAATTAATATCTATAAAAATTATTTAATTATGTCTTACATGTCCAAATTTATATTCAAAATGCAAATAAATAAATAATAATAATATATGCACCAATTAATATACTAATGAGTGTACTAAAGAATGATGTGACATAGTTTTAAAAATTTTGGATATATATAATTTGTATAATTAGTATGATCACAATTTTAAAATAATAATATCATAACATTCATTAATACATTAATTAGTATATTAATTGATACATGTAGCACCATCGAAAAAAAGAGTAACGTTTGGTAGAATTTTAGAATTATAATTTGAGAATAGAGTTATATTTTGAGTTTGTGAGTTTTAAAATTATAATTTGAAAATAGAAAATTTATTTGATTATCAGTTTTGAATTTTTAAAATTAGAAAAGTTGTTTGATTAAAAAGCTTACAATTCATAACTAAACATACAATTCAAAATTCTATTCAAAACTCATAAAAAATTTAAAAAAAATTCAATTTTTTTTTATTTAAAATATAAAGATAATAAGTGTCAATTATATATAAAAAAAAATACTATTTCAGTAAACCAGCTGAACGTTCTTAGATCTCCCAAAAGAATAATCGAATAGATGTATTCTCTAAGTATGAAATTAATTTTTAAAAATTTTAACCAAACACAACACTCAAACATGTGAAAAATTACGTTTCCAAAACTACGTCAAACACAGCGCACGTATTTGTAATAATAACCACTACAATTTTGGGTGCGTATAGTAGAAGTATTCTAGTAGAGCATAAAATAAACAGAAATGGTATAGATAGATATGCGTTACATCAGAGCCAGAGCCCACCCACCGTCTTGTACCAAAGACCGGTCTTCCCAACCTTTTGATTTTTGTTTGGCAAAGAAACAACCCAGTTTATGGTCATCACCAACCTCAGCCGCCTTTATTCAGGTTCGTTTCTCTCTCTTCAACTTTATTGAATATTTTGTGTTTCATACCATTTCAATCCACATATAATATGTATGGTACTCATAATTCGCTGTCTTCTCCACAAGAAGTATCAGCTGGGTTTTGAGGTTTTGCTGTCTTCTCATCTCGGTTTCTCTCTCTTTTATGGGTCTCAGAGAATTTGGTGCAACTTTGAGATAGTAATTTGCAAGTCTGGGCAAATAATCTCCACTAGAACCCTAACATCACCCAATTGAATTTTTTTTGATAGTTTTGTTTTGGGTTTTAGCCCTTGTCTCATCTGGGTTTGTCTCATTTCTCGATTTGGTGAATTGGGTATTTGAGAATTCAATCTAGTTTTGAAGTCTTTAGCACTTTTTGTTGTCGGGCTCTATTTATCAAGTTATTGAAAGCTGGAACTTCTGGGTTTTAGGTACCTGTCACTTTCTGTGGATTGGATATAGAGAGATTCGATTGAACGTCTAAGCAATTTTGCAAAATTGAAGTTTTTTGTTTTGAGCAATTCAAATCTTTGAAGCAATATATAAGAGGACTTTGAGCTTTCATCTTTTTCTATCTTGATTATTTACTTTCTAATTTGGTGACCTGGGTTTTCAAGACTTTGGTTGACCTCAACTGTGATTGTGGGTTTTCAAGAATTGCCTGTTTAGAGCACGTTTGGATCTGTAAAACTGGTATATTGGTGGATTCTGGACTTTCAATCCTTTCAGCAACTAGGTTCGTCTCCTTTACATGTTTGGTGAATGGGAAAAATACTATATTTGCTAATATGAGAGGTGCCTGTGGATTGTACTTCACATGCCATGTGAAATCATCATCTTTTGTTATGAACGGTGGCAACTTGAGAATTTAGCAATGGTTGCATCATCTTTTAGTTCTGAAAGATGGAATTTAGGTGTAATCTATCATTGAGAATGGAATTTGTTTTTCTGAGCTTCTTGCTGGTATTGCAATTGCCAAGAATCTTCGCCTCTGGGTTGCCAATCCAGTCAAAGGTTTGTGGCAATGATCACATCAGCTACTCGCGTAACTCTGGCCATGATTTCTTTTACATAAATGGGAAATTAGTAGACAAAGACTTGTTCTGCATGGCCCTTAAATTCCATCACGCAAACCATTGCTTCATTACAGCAGATGACGAAAATCATTTCTGTGGATTGGAAGAAACTTCTGGTAAGTATTTGGTATGACTTGTAAAGTTGTAATAATGTTGCGTTTACATTTCTGCGTTGATATTGTTCTAAACAACACTTTTAGAATTTTTTTTATTAGAATGCTAATGTTGTTGCATTGACTCCATAAAACAGTACTTGTTCATATTATTTCACAGATGAGTTGCCTTTAAAGGCAGGAAGGAAGTTTTTGCTCAATGTTGTTAGAGAAGAATCTGGAAGACATAATTTTCTCCAGAACAGTCAGCCGAGTGAAGAGAAAGATGCTCACAAATCTCTGTTAACCCAAAAGAATTTGGCCATAGCAATACCAGGATTTTTTGCTCTGTGCTGCAGTTTTCTGTGTCCATGCTTTCGAGCAAGAAGGAAACCAACTACCCATACTGTTCTTTCAAAGGATCCAATTTCAAGTGAGTCAAAATATACTCGTGTTTTGGATAATGTTCATGTTGGGATTTTGAATCCTGTCAATATCTGGAATTTATAAATTTCTTAATAATGAAACAAAAATATAATGACAGCCATGATTGTTAGAATGTTTCGACTCACGATTTTATTCATACAATTTGATACAAGTTTCAACCAAAAAAATTCAATTCGTGCTATTGAATGTTAAATTGAGTGGATCTTACTATTTAATTGCAATACAATACCATTCACTACGATTCACCGTGATTCAGTTCTGTTTTCTGTTTTCATAATGCATGAAACGACGTTTTTGCAAAATAAAAAAAGAGATCAATTAATTATATTGATATACACGGTTTTTTGTGTATATAATATATATAATTTAGTTATATTGATATTTATTTCATTTTAATTATTATGTGTATTTTTATATCTATATACATATATACAATTTTATAATATGTTAAATAAAGTGAATCTTATGATTCACGATTTGATATGATTCACCATTCACTATTTTAGCATAACGATTCATGATTTGATTCGCAATTTAACAACAATGATGACGGTGGATCAGCTCCACTAAGGCAAGTGAACACTTTTATGTTGTATAAAGTAATTCAAAGAGTCAAAATGTTGGCTCTATTTGGCCTCCTCATGCTCTATAGACAACTTTATTTATTTTTAAAATTTTTTCACTTTCTTTTCGTGATCTTAGTACTGATACATTTTGGCTTGGTGAATTTTAATGCCTGTTGATAAAAAGACCATGTTGTTCTTGCAGTGGATTCAGTTTCCTCTTTGGAAATGAACTCTGTTCCTGAAAAGATCCCAGGCAGTCCACTACGAGTGCCACCTAGCCCTTCTAGATTCTCCATGTCTCCGAGTCCTGTTCTCAATAGAATTGGATCAATTTATCTAAATCTGAGTCAGGTTGCTAGAGCCACCCAAAATTTTTCACCATCAATGAAGATTGGTGAAGGAGGCTTTGGAACTGTCTACAAGGCCCTGTTACCAGGTGGTCAGGTAGTTGCCATAAAACGAGCAAAGAAGGTAAGCTGCAGTTTCTTCTCATGGCCTAGAATTTACTTCTTTCTGCCATATTAATTTTGCTCACAAGATAACAGCTTGCTTGTTTTCATTTTTCAGAAAACACTTTTCGGAAAATTCTATATTCTTATTTTCCGTATTTTTTTGTTTTTACTGAATTTTTTTAATATTTTAAGCAATTTTTTTACTTTTTAGACACACCTAACATAAATACACCTAAAAAGTAAAAAAATTGTAAAAAAAATCTTTTAAAAATTCACTAAATACCAAAAATACAAAAAAAATACAAGAATTCAGTACATTTTTTGTATTTTTATGTATTTATTAATTTTTTTTAAATATTTTTTCACAATTTTTTACTTTTTAGATATATCTAACTAAGGTGCATCTAAAAAAGTAAAAAAAATGTTTAAAATTTACAAAATATTCACTAAAAACAAAAGAATACGAAAACTAAAAAACTCAATTTTCAAAAAACTTAATCTAGAAAACTCAAACCAAACACACTGATTAATTTCTTGCTACATCTCTAGAAGGAGCTGTCACATTGTGGTTTCATTTCACTAAACAAATCAAAAGTTAAATTGATCTTCGAATTGGATATAATATACAGGGATCACGTGAGCATTTTAGTTGATCTTTGCAAATCAATAGCTTAGGACAATCACCCTGTTAAAACAGTGCCACATACATTCATCTCATGAAAATATGCTAGTTTTAAAGCCAGTATTTCTAGAGAAAAATCTCTATTTCAGTAGAATTAGAGTTAACAGTTTATATCTTTTTTAAATATGCTAGTTTATATCTTTTTTTGTTTTTCTTTTCTTTTATGGATGATCTATTAAGTATTTAAATTTGAGAAAAAAAAATAATAAACATTCGACATTCGTCAAAAATACTAAATAAAATAGGGGAAAAGACAACTTGGCATGTCCTTAGTGTGTCCCCGGCATGTCCCTTGAAAATAAATTAATTAAATAAGGGGAGATACAATGTGATGTGTCCCATATGTGTTCCCGAAGTGTCCGCGTGTTATGGCACTTGTTTTGAAGTGTCGGTGCTTCATAGGTGAGCCACCTATGACAACAGAATGAACACAAACATGGAAACGCATTTGACACACATGAGAGGTTTTGTACTTTCTGTACCTTCTTGTTAGTGCCTGCTGCCTAGGTTCTACTGCACACCCATGGCTAAGGAGGGTATCACCATTTTGCTTGTACATCAACTATACGTAACCTTGGGGAAATTAAGATGCCCATTACATATTGAAATCTGTGGTGGTGAACAAGATGAAATGAGCATATTGGGCCAAATCAATGTTGTAGAGGCAAATCAGATAGATAAAGATGCTCTTATACTAGGTTCGATAAAAGAATATAATTATCCAGATGGGGTGACTGCTCAAATAATATAGAGTAGGTTTTCCTGTGTAGTGAGTGACTGATAAGAGCCGGATTTCTACTTCCCACTCATCTCAAGTACTTATGGAATTCCTGTGGCATGTTTCTATTTTGACTTTGCTGATTTTAGTTGTACGAGTGGCTTTCTATGAAGCACGGATACTTCAAATAGGAAGACATATCCGTATCGGATACCGATACTCCTCGGATACTTACGGATACGTATCAGATACTTATTAAAAGTGTCGGATACTTCTTAATTAATTTTTCATTAATTTTGAAGTATCGGATACTTAGTTTTGAAGTATCGGATACTCTGACTCACATATTATCGGATACTTCTTAATTAATTTTGAAGTATCAAATCCTCCAAGTCATGCATTACTCCTTTTACGAAATTAGAATTGTATTATTTCTTGCATAACATCATGATATAATATAATTGTGAGAATAAATAGAATATTTTTACACTACTTTGCTTAGTTTTTTTTTTTATAAAAATAACATAGTAAGCTCAAATAATATAAGTCATCAAATTGGCATATCTTCATTATATCATGTGTGTCCCCTATAACTACATAGAAGTAAGGATTAATAAGATAATATAACAATAGTAAAATTAAATATCAATAAATAAATAAGAAAATAAACTTGCATAGAATATTTTTGACTAGTGCAGAAGGAAAAAATATAGGGTCAAGTTATGGATTGTTTTGATATTATAATATCAACATATTAGACTTGATATTGAAATAAAATATTTGCAAGACCTATTGAAAATTTAAAAATTAAACTAGCTATTAGCTTAAATTAATATCCAATTCTTAAAGATTAGTATTTTGCATTATAAAGTTACTGTGATTTCTCAACATTCTTGAGCTTATGTGTAACTCATTGCTAATAATTTATTTATTTTTTATTTTTTATTTTTTACAAACGTATCCTAGCCGTATCCGTATCCTACTTTTTTAGGTTTTGCTCTATCGCCGTATCCGTATCGTATCGTATCCGTATCTCTTATCTGTATCCGTGCTTTCTAGGTGGCTTTAAAATATTATCAGTCTTCAATTTCATTGACTTCTTTCTTCAAAGTGCATACTAACAATTACATGCAACACAGTAAGTACTTTTATATTCAGTATTTTTGCTTAACAGTATCTTATGTTCCCTGAAAAAATTGGACAGGAACACTTTGAAGCTCTAAGAACTGAATTTAGCAATGAAGTTGAACTTCTGGCTAAGATTGACCATCGAAACCTAGTGAAGCTGCTTGGTTATCTAGATAAAGGCAATGAACGCCTTATTATTACCGAGTACGTGCCGAATGGTACTCTTAGAGAACATCTAGATGGTAAGATTACCAGACTGTAAGGGATTGGCTAAAAATGTTAATCTAGACACTAAATTTACCACTTGTAATGTGGCTGTTGCTGTTGGCAGGTCTACGGGGTAAAGCTTTGGATTTTAATCAGCGACTTGAAATCTCCATTGATATTGCCCATGGCCTAACTTATCTCCATCTCTATGCAGGTGAACACACTTTTCATTTTAATTAATTTGTTTGTGAGTTTAATTGTGTAAATTCGAACATCAAGCCCTAGTGGTCAATTTGAGTAGACAGAAAAACTACAGAAGTAAGTGAGAATTCTTTCAACAAGCTGGAACAGTCATTGTCATGCTCTGTGATACCAAAGGTTGTTAAAATCGGGGTCTTACGTTGGATCGTTGGAGGTATTTACAGGATTGGATCGTAGAATCAGATCAAGGATCATAAGATCCTACTGAAAAAGACAAATTACGTAATAATTTAAATTAAATAAATATTTCTTAAAAAGTATAGACAAAATGAGCCTATATTCTATTAAAAAGAAGTGAAGATATTGTGACAAATATAATACTCCATGTAAAATATACATATAATATTATACAATAGAAAACTCGATGGTAAAAGTTTTATATTTCATCAAAAAAGAAGGTGAAGAAGAAGAATTCTATAACAAAATACTTTACAATTTACAATAATATATAAAAAGTGAAGAAAAAAATTTAACAAAGTTTCATATGAAAATAGATTAAGAACTCAAAAGAGCAGCTAAACCGAATGATAAAGTTTGTCGTTAGTATCCCTGATAGAGTGGATTCGAGTAACCAAAATAGTCTCTCCAAAAATTGGGGTAAAGTTGCAATCATCTTACCCTCCTCAGACTCTGCTAAAGCTAAGTTTATTTTTTCGACTAGTTAATTTTCTTAAATTATCGTAATATTTAAATGTTTGTTTCCTAATTTGTTTTTCTTAGTCTATTTGATTCAATACTACTTAATTTTTATTATTTATTTTGACCACATAAATTATTATTTAGACAACAAACGTAAAATTTACAATAAAGTATATCATGAAATACAAAACAAGGTTTGTAAATTGGATCGGATAGGATCGGATTCGGATCGGAGTTTGGATTCCACGATCCTATAAAATCCCATTATCAGGATTGGGAGATCCTACCTACAGGGAATTTTTTACACAATCCAGATTGATTGTGCCCAAATGGATCGGATCATAAGATCGTAGGATCGTGAGATCCGGATTGGGATTCTGATAACCATGGTGATACCAAATGTTCTTATCATTTGCTTGTCATCTTGCAAAACAAGTGGGAAGTCATGAATCGAGTATTGTCTTTCATATGGGCTTCATTTAACCTTGCCTCAATGTGGAATAAAAAGAATTCATTTGATTTAGATAATGGGCTATCTTATCCATGTAGGTTGTCGTGGGAAATTATGCTCTCATGTTTCGTTATGTTTGTTCAGCAAAAACATTTTCCCTGTTTACTATAAAATGTTTTCTGTGGAATTTTTTTACCCTATATTTGGTTGTGTAGTGGTTGTATTAATAGTGGTGTTAGTGTTGGTGGAGATGTGGTGGAGGTGGTTGGTTGTGTCCTTGAAACTAATGTACTAGTGGTTGTATTAATAGCGGTGTTAGTGTTGGTGGGGGTGTTGTGGTGGTGATGGTGGCTGTGGTAGTGTGGTGGCATCAGTGAGACTTTAATCCCGAATTTTTTTTTTACCTTTCAAAAGTGAAAAACATTTTCTACCCAAATAAGCTTTTTTCTATTGACCACGGAAAACGTTTTTCATTTACTTTCGTTTTTCATTATACCAAATGCTTTAAAGCTTGAAATTCTTAAAGCTTCACTTTATTTTCATACCTAGTTCAGTTTTTTTCTTGGTTTTCTTATCTTACTTTTAGCACCATTAGCCTGCTCCATGTTTTGGTGCTTGGCCTTCTTTTAGAATTAAGGTGGAACAAGATTAAAAAAGATTATTGTTTTAGTAGTGTGAGTCTTATTCATACTAGTTATATGAAATCATACTAAGGATTTCTTTCTAGCGACGAGGATTCTACTAAAATATATATACACTTTAATATCAACTTATCTTCTTCCATTCTTTTTCTATCCATTTAACCTTAAATCCGTTGATTTGAAATCCATATCCATCCAAATGGAGCCTTAGTAAATTTACTCAAAAGGAAAAAAGGTCACCTCACTCGTGGGACCTAAACTACGACTTCTCAAAAGCACAAAAATTAACATGTTTGTTTGGCTTCAATAGAAGTTCCTTTTTCTATTTTTTTTCTCCTTGTAATAAATAAACCCCACCAAAATCATGAAAGGTACAGTCACTGAATGGCATAGATTTATACAGTGCTGATGACTGAACTGCTGCGTCAATGGAAGGATCATCCTATTTTGGATTACTAGAGAAAATGTGATGATGTCAAAGACAGAATTTTGAACCTTATGGGGAAATTCTTAAGGTTTGTGAGGATGTTACACAACTAAGACTGTAAGAGTGCCCAGTTTGGATTTGTTACAGTTTTAACTAGACTCTGAGGATTTTACACACTGTGATAGAGATAAATAATTCTGGGGAAGTTAGAAGTGACGTCAGTTGAAAAAAGAAAATAAAATGAGGGAAAGCCATTTCAGATGGTATAAACATGTGCAACGTAAACAAACCAAACCAACGCTCTTGCAAGGAGGATGATTTGAAGGACATTAATGGTGGTAAAAGAAACAGATGAAGGCCAAAGAGAAGGGGTTAAGGTGATAAGAAAGGATTATTGAATTAGATTTTTTTGATGGTATGACTTCTTGTAGAGCCAACTAGGAATTAGATCCATGTAGCTTACCCCAAGTAATTGAGACAGAACTTGTTAAGTTGTATGGAACAACTCTTATTGCTTGGTCAACTTAATAACAGATGGACTTAAAATTTTTTCTAGGAAACCAAAAGTGGATATTCCAAGAATCTAACCGCAAAACTAGCCCACTGAACCGTCATCACAATAGATTTATACTTCTCCATTTGAACCTAGCATATAAGCCAATAAGAACAAATTTTATCTGCCGGAAATGGGTATTAAGCCCTGCCACCTGATAAATTTTTGTCTCAAATCAAATAGCGAACCCTTTATAGCAACACTTGTACAAGTCCATTTTCATAAGCTTTTTCAAAATAATGAAAATTATTTTGCTTTCCCATGAATGAGGTAGAGGCTATGTATATATAATAGATGCATGATACCATTTAGGAAATAATATAATTAAGGAAACAATACTAAATCAGTGATTGACACAATCACAGATTATATACATAATACTAAAAATAAAAAGGTTCTATGTACTCTAATTTCTATGTTCAACACTCCCCCTCATGCTGGTATGAAGATATTCAACAATCGCAACTTGCCAATGGATGATTGGAAGAAGCCAGAAATAACTCAACGGTAGTCCAAATAAATGCTACTGAATAAATCTGGTAGTCCACTAAATATAAAAAGCCAAAAAGTGCATAATACATCAGCACCACACTTTAGAAAGGGAAAAAAAAAAAAAAAAGGTACTGAACTTCCCTAGAAGAGTTGTCGAGGCATCTATGACCAGGAAACACATTGGTGGGCAGCCAACAAGACCTTGGTCGGCATCAGAGGCTGGAGCTAATGCTGAGAGATAGCTTATGGTCGTGTCGGATCATTGTAGAAACTGGTTGGTACTAATGTTGGGATAGTTTAAGGTCATGCTGGACTGTTGTAGGAACTGATTGGAATCAATGCCGGGACAATTTACGGGGGTCATGCCGGACTGTTGTAGGAACTAACTGGAATTAATGTCGGGGCAGTATAAAGGGGTCATGCTAGACTGTTGTAGGAACAAATTAGAATCAATGTCGAGACAATTTAAGGGGTCATGCCGGACCGATGTAGATAATTGGATGTTGAACCAACAAGCGTGGCACACACATAACTTATGACGTGCTGCTGAACAATGATGGCAACAGATGATTGAGTGCACCAAGGGGTGGCTTATTAGAAAATGCGCCAGAGGGGCGACTTAAGTGGTACGCCAAGGGGGGGACTTGGGTTGTGCACCAGAGGGGGCGACTTGGATTGTGCGCTAGATGGGTGGCTTAGGTGGTTCACATGGTATATCACTATGCTCACCATGATATAGAGAAAGAGATCACCACGACTTGGGTTGCCCGCTGCCTCAGACCCCATGTTCTGTTTACTTTATCCATTATAATCCTCTGCTGGGTATGTTCTTTTTGATTTTTTTTTATCTTTGCTGCACATGGCAAAGCCATCTTATTTTCATCTCCTTGTGTTACCGCATATATGCAACCGCAAACTTTACATATATATTCATTTCTATAAATTTTGTTGGATATTATTGCCTGTAAGTTAATGCTATTAGGCAAGAGATAAAAATAAAAATAAAGAAGTACAGAAATAATACACACCTCAACAAGTGTGGATTTTAGAAGCATTTAGGGTTACATTTCCTGATTGCTTATAATAGTTAGGGAACTAGATTATTATTGGGTCAAGACTGATTTATGATGAGTGGAGAATTGCACTCAGAGGTACATGAAGGTTCAAAGCCTAGGGTCCAAATCCAACAGGATAGGACCGAAGTTTAAGGCTGTTCTGGGTGCTGTTAACAATAACAGTGAACGGTATATGTACTTTAGTTTCCCTTGAGTGCTATTATTAACTGCTTAAAGAAAGGAATATAATTTGCTTCGTTTTACAGGTGTTTATTGCAGGAAATTCAGGTAAAACACTGCTGGAATTTCTGAGCAGCAAAGCTTCTCAGAATTTTGGGTGCTAGGGTGAATAAACCCTTGTAGGGCCAGGGATTGGGTTAGAGTGACAATGTTAATCTTATGGGTAGGGGTCAACAGATTAATGGCTAATTGTGATTAAATTGGAAAATTTGACACGGATAATTTAAGAGAAGAAGCGGAAAGTAAAAGAATCTAGGAACCATTCCTAGGGTCCCTTAAGCATCACACTTGGCTAGGGTTTGCATCATGCAATCCCTAGAGGCTGAAAAGTTTCAAAATAATTTCTAAAACATGATACAAAAAATAAAAATAAAAAAAACAAAATCTAAAACATGATCTCTATTAAATTGAAATCATTACATGGTAATGTGTGGATTTCAAGGAGACTTCTAACTCTTGTCTGTCTAAAAAGAGAGACCCAATGCATGAGGTTTCCGCTAGAGCGAAGGTTGGGGAGATGTATACAACCTTACCCCCATTTTTGGAGAGGTTATTTCCATGACTCAAATCCATGCCACTAAGGACACTAACGGAAAGCCTTACCATTGGGACAAGCATTATCTAATTGGTGTATGATTACAAATGAAATCTTTGACTTCTTAAACCATTCTGGTCTGACTAACATTTTATGAAAGTACACAATAGTATGACTTGACCAAACTTTGTAGCATGGGCAACCACTACAATCCATGTCCAAAAAATGTTGTAATTCCAAATTTATCTAAACTTCACTCAATTCCAAACTTATCCTAATGGGGGGTTCAGAGCCTCACTCAAACTTACATGCGTATAACTTAGTCATTTTCTAAGGAGGGGAAAGAACACTTGACTTTGAGTAGCTCTTAACTTAAAATAATGCCACTTTTCCACTTATTTGAATTTCCTTTTTCTTGAGCTTCATTTGGATTGCATTAGAGACTGTAAACTCCACAAAATTGAGTTCAAGTGGAAAATATCAACAGACTAATACAATCATGAATCTAAGCAAATAATTGTGATAGCAAAGAGGGTAGAATGATATATGGCTAGTAATTTCAAAAGTTAAAGAGCAGATCCCAAGGGGTTAGCTGAGTGGCAAGTTAAGCCGTGATAGGTTCCTTAAGAAGCATAGGTCACGAGTTTGAAATTTTGTTCCACTGGAAGCTTAGGACCACTCTCAGGGCCTATGCCCAATAATTACAAGGTAATTACCTCATTTAAAAAATTTTGAGGATTATATATATGTGTGTAAACTCCACCTTACTCTCTTGTGATATGGCCTGAAAGCACTTTATTCCCATCTTTTAAAATTAGTTACCTATGAAGCATGAATACGGACATAGGGTACAGATATGGAAAAGTGGAGTACTACTTAATTTCACTATTTTCTTCTTCAGTAAGAAATAAATAAATAAATATATATATTAAAAGCTATTCTAACAATTATACTCTAATACTATGCAAAAATTATTACTATCTCAATTTCATAATAGTTTGGATATATGACCTAGAGTGTCCAAATTGTATATGATACTTCTCAAAATTAACAAGAAGAATCAGATACGTTTAGGAAGTATCTAATACATATCCACTAGAATTCGAAAAGTATCAGTATCCGATATGGGTGTGATTAAGATACAGCTCCCTTTTAGAAGTATACAGGCTTGATAGCTAGTCACATACCCACTCATGTGGTTTTGAATTAAAATGCAACGTTAACTTTGTTAATGATAGTTGCAAAATTACCTTAATACCCCTCAGCTATCTTTTCTTTCTCTTTCTTCTCTTTACACATTAATTTTAACTTAATTCCGTATTAATCAATTATATTATTATTTTACTAATATGTTATGATAAAAGTTAAGATATATGTCAATGAAAATTACGTACAGTCATGATCAAAATTGAATTGATAATACCTTGGCTTGTGGATAACATAACATTATGTGCATCACAACTGTTTGTTGTTAAATCCCTTAAAAAAATCTTATTGATCCTAAATTAATAATTACTCTTGCCAGTATTTCTATTATTCTTATTCAACCTCTTTTCTACTGGCAATTTTAACGTTGGTGACCGATTGATGTTGAATACGTAATTGTTGGTGTTATAATCAACAAGTTGGTAGATTAAAATAATTCCATTAACAATAAGTGAACTCAAATTGCGCCCCATTGACTGTCAAGTTTTTTGCTTGCCAAGATAGACTTTGGTGTTGTTCATAGAAATTGTATTTGAGCAACTCATGTTGTGCCTTAAGCCTACTCTGCAGGTGAGGCACTTGTGAGGGACTCTGTTTTGTTGGCTTTCATAGGTTGCATTCAATGATTGTAGACCAAATGGCTATCATTGCCCAATACAGTGGTTATTTGAATGGCGGGGAAGGGTGGAGTAGCTGGCTAGAGAGGGGAGGTGGGGTAGTGGAAGGGGTAGGTGTGGGTGTGTGTGTTTTAGGGTTTGGATTGGAGTTTGAAGGTAAAAAATGAGAACGGCAAATATGTCTTTACATCTTCATTTGACTTTGACTAAAGAAATTGGGCAAAATTCATTTTAGCCTATTGTGGTTTGAGGCCAGAGCACTTTACCCTTTTATGATTCAAATATATCCAGAAAACCCTAATGTGGTTTTGGATTAAAGTGCAACCGTTAACACCGTTAACTATAGATGTGAAATGACTTGTAAAGCTGTAATATTCTCAAATCCTATACCTTTTTTGTTAGTTTCTTTTTCTCTCCTCTCATACACATAATGTATAATGTTTAACATTAATTAAATTAAATCACAATTAATTATAAATTCTTAATTATTTATTATAATTCTTAAGTTTTCATTCTAATTTTAATTTAATTATATTTTAGATCACAATTAATCCTAAATATTTAATTATTTATTGTAATTCTTAATTTTTTAATCTAATTTTAATTTAATTATATTTTAGAAAACAATTAATTCTAAATGCTTAATTATTTATTGTAATTCTTAGCATGTTAATCTAATTTTAATTTTATTATATATATATTTTTTTATCAATTCTTAATTCTTAATTATTATTTATTTTATATTTTTATTTAATTATTTATAAATCAATTCTTAATTATATTTTAATTAACATATTAATCTAATTTTAGATTTGTAGAAAATAAGGGTAACATTGTCTTTTTGTTGTATTAATTTTACTTTATTTTTGCATAAAACCAAACCCACTCTAAAAAATGGTGTGTGATACATCTTCCGTTAGTTTGGATGGAAAAACTAACGGTAACACTTCAATCCAAAATCACATGGGGGCTTTCTAGCTATATTTGAATCATAATGGGGCAAAGTGCTTTAGTCCCAAACCACAAGGGGGTAAAATAAATTTAACCCAAAAAAATTTCCTTCCCTACTCTCTAAACAAGCATGCATGGCACAATTTACATCTATTTAGACAAAAAAATGCAACGGTAGCATTTTAATCCAAAACCAAATGGAGGGTATGTGGTTATTTTTGAAAGACATGGGGTTAAAATGTTACAATACCATATCACAGGGGGTAAAGTGAATTTTTCCCTATATATGAGAATTTGGATTCTAGACGTGCAATTTTATCTTTATTTGTCAACCTTGAAGGTTGGTAGAAAATTGAATTTTTAACTACTACAAACTAAGAAAGATTATTAAAAAAATAAAGAAAATTAAAGAACACAAGACAGTTGATGGAAAAGGTCTCAGATTAGCTTCCTAACTCACATGATGGGCAAGATAATATAACTATCTAGTATCAGTTTGAGTACGTATTTTTACATATATGTCATGTCTTTTACTAGTGTAGCTATGGATGAATATTCATTGTTTAAAATCCTGTTAGTAGGGAATCTATTTTAAAGTGAAAAAGTGTTTCTCTATTCCTTTTCTAGACCAACCAAAAAATTCCAATGACCTTGCAATTTCTTTTTTGGAATGCATGTTTTGAACATTGTATACTTTCGTGCTAAAATATTGAATTTAATGATCCAAAGCGATCCTAAAAGCTTTTCCTATTATTCCTCAACATTTTCCTTGGGTTAAAAAAATCAAATTAAAAAAATAAATAAATAAGTGGAGTTTTGGCAAGACAAAATGTTAAAATAAATAAATAAAAATAAAAATTGGTCATAAATTATAATGCTCTTAAAAATATGTTTAATCTGAAAAATTGTAGACTGTTTTGTTACATGTTTAATGCATTATAGAAATTTGCTCACACATTTGGAAGCATCTTACTTTCTAATACAAGCCTACCATATCATTCCGTAATTTAGGGCATGTGGTATTCCACATGTCTATTCTTGTTCCTTGTACTAAAACGTTCCAAGTTCCAGGTGACATTACTACGTGCCCAATGCTACTGTTGGCAACATATGTCTTCAATGATAGACCCAAGTTGCATCATATTTGAATCCTATGTTGATGTGTTCAACTGGTTATGTAGCATAGCTTATCTTTATTGCATATACTTTTAATTATGTGTTTTTTTAGTGATTTGATGTTGTTGATCTTGCAACAGAGAAGCAAATTATACACCGAGATGTGAAGTCATCCAATATTCTCTTGACTGAGGGCATGAGAGCCAAAGTGGCCGATTTTGGATTTGCAAGAGATGGTGCAACGGACGCTGATAAAACACACGTCTCAACCAAAGTGAAAGGAACTGTTGGGTACCTCGACCCTGAGTACATGAGGACCTACCAACTGACCCCTAAGAGCGACGTATACTCGTTTGGGATTTTATTACTAGAAATATTGACAGGTCGCCGTCCCGTGGACTTGAAGAAACCTAATGATGAGAGGATAACAATTAGATGGGTAAATTCATCTTGGAAAATGCTATAGGTCCCAAATTTTCTACCAAATAAATAACCAAATGTCTCACATGGGCTCATGTGAGACATTTGGTCATTTATTTGGTAGAAAATTTGGTATCCCTAACATTACCCATTCATCCTTCCTTTTTTTAATAACATCTTGATTCTGTGGCAGGTGTGGTACTAGGTAAAAAATTCATAACATCATTGCATATATTCTGTAATGATGAGGTAACTGTGACTCTGTTTAGTTGAGTTTTGAAAACTTATTTTTTGAAAGTTTTTAAATAACTAGAAACTAGTTTGACAAAAATAGACACACAAAAAATATATATTTTTTTAATTTTCAAAAGTTATTTTTTCCCCCTAAAAGAGAAATCCATATTATTCCCCCCCACCCCCCCCCCAAAAAAAAAAAAACAAAACAAAAATTTTTTAAAAAAAAAAAAAAAAAAAAAATGATTCTGTAAACTCTGATTCAAGTGCCATCTCATGGTAGGGGTTTACTAGACAGGTCTTAGCCACTGCTGTTACAGACATTCCTTATGCCCTAACTAAACTTGGGCACTGTTTGTTGTAGCTTAAATGGGCTGCTTGTGCCTTTTTCTTTTGAGGACTGTGTTAGCCTGTTTGTTGTAGCTTCTTCTTTCAGTTCATGTGATAAAATAGCTTAGATAAGCTGAAAAAACATGATAATTCTGAAATTAAGAGGTGTGCTTTTGAATTTTGCTTATGAATTATAAACTTTTCAGCTTAGAATAAACTGCCACAAACAAGCCCTTAATGCTAAAGTCTGGCACAATGCTTGTCTTGCAGGCCTTCAACAACTACAACGAAGGACGTCTCAAGGAGACGCTGGACCCATTGATGCAGGAAGTGGTGGATGAGGAGATTCTGGGGAAAATGTTTGAGTTGGCATTCCAGTGTGCAGCACCCACACGATCCGATCGTCCAGACATGAAAACAGTGGGAGAGCAATTGTGGGCAATTAGGATGGACTATCTTCGAAGTGGGAGAAGAGAGTGAAAAGCGCAAATTGAGATGTGTGTTTCCAGATTCAAATATATGTATGTTGTGTAAAAAAGCAAAACCCTTTTAAAGGCAAATGTATCTTTGGTGTTTTTTTTGGGTGTGTACTTTTGTTACATTCTTATATTCTTAAAGAGATATTTGGCTGCCTGTTATTTACTTGAGGCCTTATTACAGCATGTTGTCATGAAATAGGGAAAGTATTTCTTTTAATGAAGATTGGTCGTGTTGTGCTTGCTTAATGACAAGAACCAGTATCAATGGGTTGCTTTGCTTGAAAGAAATTTGCATTTGTTACCATGATCTTTGGTTTGTTATTCATATAGGTTTGCTATACTGCACTGATATATTAATTGACGGTAAATTATAAGTACTCATTGAGATTTGTTTAAAATACAAATTTTTTGTCACTTGAATTTTTTAATTTCATAACAAATGGCTTTTTATTAATAAATTATTAAGTCAATAAATAATTTTTAATGATGTCAGAAATTTATTTTAATTGATAATTCATGTAATTTTATTATTGAATAGGAGAGTAGGTAGAAATTTTATTTTTTCAGTTAATTTTGTTTAAAAAAAAAATTCGACAAGGGAATATTTGTAATTTTGTAAAAAAGAGTGAAATGATCTTGATGAATTTATAAATTTATATAATTGGGTGTTGGAGGGAAAAAATCTAATTTTGAATTTTTCTTATCAAAGGTCCAGTGGGAATTTATTCTATCCATAAAGACAAGTTGAGACAAAACGACCAATGTATCTCTTTTCCTATATATATAGGAGTGTTTTGAAAAAATAATTAAAAAATATTTTTTTGATTTTTTTAATTTTTTATGTGAAAGATGATATGATTTAAAATAAATTAAAAATTCATTTTTTTTTTTAAAAAACTTTTTATGCAGGTTCCCAAATCCCCCATGTATATATCACATTCATGGCTGTAAACATAGCTAGACAACACTTCCCTCTCCCTCTCCCTCTCTCTCTCCAAACCCTAAGTCCCTCTCTCTCCAAATCCTAACCTTCTCCTTCGTCATCTCATTCTTCGACGTTGCTGTTGACACCACATCTCTACCGTCCACTCTGCCACCAGAACCACCGCTTAACGGTTTCGCTGTCAATATCTTGTTCAAAATTGACGGTCGAGTTCGATTCAAGGTCAGAACCTTCGTCTCTGGCGAGTATCGTATCACTGTCGACCTCTGCCACTTCCACGACTTCGACTTCAACTCCGACATCGACAAGCACTTCATCGGCTTCCTCATTGTTGGGATCATGGACACCCAGAATAATAAACAAGAAACAATCACACATAATCGAGACACCAATATTTATGTGGTTCAGCACAATGCCTACGTCCACGGACAGAAACGAGAATTTCACTAAAATAGAGCAAATACAAAAACAGAGGAGGAGAAATATTCTCACTCAACTCACAGCTCTCTATTTCTCAATTTCTGATGATACATCCTCTCCCTCTCGTCGCTATTTATACACAAAAATGAGAGAGAGAGAGAGAGGAGACAAACCCACACAATTTCTACATTCTTTAATGGAGAGGGTGAGTGTCAACAATGGCAACAACGTGAAGAGTAGGGAGAGATGCCCAGTTCAGACCTCCTTCTCTTGAGGTGGAAGTCCCGGTATACCATCTTTGCATGCCTTTCTGCTTGCATACATGAGGGTGGGAGCTAACAATTCTCTCCCTTCATACCCACATGCATGACTGACTTCTCACTTGAAGTCCATCCTGGCAATGTCTCTGCAAATTTTGAGTTTGTCTCTCGAGACTACCTTTGTAAGCATGTCAGCTAGATTCTTATTTGTATGGATCTTGATCAATTCCAATAACTATTTTTCCATCACTTCACGTATCCAATGATACCGAACATCAATGTGCTTCGTGCGAGAATGGTACATATAATTCTTGCTTAGGTCTATGGCACTCTAGCTATCACAATGTACCGTGAACTTTTCTTGCTTTAATCCAAACTCTTGGAGAAACCGTTTTAACCACAACATCTTTTTCCCAGCTTCCGTTGCGGCAATATACTCTGCCTCGGTTGTGGATAAAGCAACACGCTTCTGCAGCTTGGACTGCTAAGACACAACTTTGACTGCGAAAGTGAACATAAATCCTAATGTAGATTTTCTATCATCAAGATCCCCTGCCATATTTGAATTTGTATATCTAAGATTGGTTTATCATCTCTAAAGCACAAACACATTTTAGTCGTATCCTTAAGGTACCTCAGAATCCACTTGACTGCTTCCCAATGCAAAAGCGCAAATTGTGGATTGGAAATGAATTTGCTTACTACTTCAACAACATGAGCAATATCTGGTCGGGTAGACACCATTGCATACAATAAACTCCCTACGGCGGATGAGTAGGGAATAGCCTCCATCTCTTCTCTTTCTTTGGTAGAGGAGGGACAAGAACTCTTGCTCAGCTTGAAATGATTAGCCAGTGGAGTACTGACTGGCTTGGCATCTTTTGTGTTGACTTCTCAATCACCCGTTCAACATACTTCTCCTCTGACAGCCACAACTTCTTGGCTTTCCTGTCATGCATAATTTTCATGCCCAAAATTTGTTGTGCAAGGCCTAGGTCCTTCATGTAAAAGGACTGTGATAACTCATTCTTCAGTGATTTGATTGCTGTGGCATCTTGTCCAACGATCAGCATGTCATAAACATAGAGCAGGAGTATGATGAAGTTTCCACCGGGAAATTTCCTGACACAAACACATTGGTCTGCAGCAGTTCTCTTGTACTCATGACCCACCATGAATGAGTCAAACTTCTTATACCACTGTCTCGGCGCTTGTTTGAGGCCGTAAAGACTCTTTTTCAATCTGCAGACTAAGTTTTCTTTTCCTTTGACTTCAAAACCTTATAGCTGCTCCATGTAAATTTCTTCCTTCAGATCACCATGGAAAAATGTCGTCTTCACATCCATCTGTTCAAGTTCCAAATTCAAACTGGCCACTAGCCTCAAAACTATTCGAATGGATGTCATCTTTACAACTGGAGAGAAGACTTCATCAAAAACAATACCTTTCCTCTGTTCAAAACCTTTGACAACTAATCGTGCCTTATACTTGACTAGCTTTCCGCTGCCATCTTTCTTCAACTTGAACACCCATTTGTTCTTTAGTGCTTTTCGACCCTAGGGAAATTTCACCAAATCGTAAGTTTGGTTTTTCTGCAAGGACTGCATCTCTTCTTGCATAGCTTACTGCCAGCTACTTTTCTCCTTATGATTTTGAGTTTCTTGAAAACTTTCTGGCTCCCTTTCATCAGTAAGCAAAATATACTCAGAAGCAGGATATTTTGATGACGGCTTAGACTCTCTTGCTGATCATCATAACTGTGGACCAATAATCTCTTGCGGAAGGGGTTGTGGCTCCCCCTGCTCAACACCCTCTGCTTCTGGATCTTCTTCTTTTACAAATCCATCCTACAATTCTATATCATTGACTGCATGCTACGGTAGCTCTTCTTCATTAGTGGCATGTTGTGATGGTGCTGGATTGGAAATAATTTCTAAAACATCATCAACTTTGGATTTGGCTGGTTGCTCAAAGTCTTCTAAGGTCTGGCCTTCTTGAAACACTACATCTCGGTTTCGAATGACCTTCTTGTTTTTCGGATCCTATATTATGTATACAAATTCTTCATCTCCATAGCCAATAAAGATGTATGGAGTGGTTTTATCATCCAGCTTTTGTCTATGCTCCTCGGATACATGTGCAAATGCTTTGCACCCAAACACTCTCAAGTGAGAGTAAGAAATCTCTCTTCCAGACCATACTTCTTCTAGAATCTGAAAATTTAGTGGAACGGATGGCAATCTGTTGATCAAATAGCAAGCAACACGAACAACTTCTCCCCAAAATGGCTTTGGCAGCTTTGCCATTTTGAGCATACATCTGACCTTCTCCATAATGGTCCGGTTCATTCTTTCGGCTACACCATTATGTTTTAGGGTTCCAGGAACAGTTTTCTCATGCCTAATGCCGCGAGTAGCACAGTAGGCTTCAAACTCTTTTGATGTGTACTCGCCTCTATTGTTTGTTCGGAGACATTTCAGCTTCTTTCTAATCTCTATTTCCACCATAGCATGACATGTTTGAAAATACTGGAACACCTCAGCTTTGGTCTTTAGGACATAAACCCATACCTTCCGTGATGCATCATCAATAAATGTCAAAAAAATATTTTCTGCCACCCAAAGATTCCACTTCTATGGGACTGCATACATCAGATATACTCTGCTTAACAACTCTGATTGTCTTCTGGGTAATGAGTGGAAAACGACTCTATGATGCTTCCCAAATAAGCAGTTGTCACAAGGATTCAATTTCACATCTTTGGCAAAGGGAATAAGAGACTTCTTTGTCAGAATCTGCAACCCTTTTTCACTCATGTGACCTAGCCTTTTGTGCCACAAATTTGGTGACGCCTCATCTTCTGCTGCGTTGAGGCTATCTGAATTCACCTCCACATGAGTCTTGTACAGTGTGCCAATTGCTTATCCTCTGGCTACCACCAGAGATCAATTTTTCAACTTCCATATGCCTTTGCCGAAATAGTTCTCATAGCCTTGTTGATCTAAGGCTATCATTGAGATAAAATTCAGGCATAAAATCGGGAACATGCCTGACATCTTTTAGCACCATCGTGCATCCAACTTTGGTTTGGATACGAACATCACCGATTCTCACAATCTTCGAAAAACTAGAGTTACCCATCTTCACTGTACCAAAATCTCCAGCTTGGTATGTACTGAAAAACTCCTTCGGGGATGTAGTGTGGTAGGAAGCTGATATATCTACCACCCACATGGTGTCGTTGCCTGACATATGAAGGCATTCTTCTTTTTCAATAGAGAATAATGCAATATCCTCTGAGACAGTAACTGCAGTGTTCCCATCTTCGGTCTTTATCTGTCTATTGCCTTATTTTTGTTCTCCCTTCAAGATATAACAATATTTCTTTATGTGACCCTTCTGACCCCAATGGTAACACCTGAACCTTGGTCGGCTCGTACCTTCTCTGGATTTCCCTCTGTCTTGATATCTTCCTCTGCTGCGTCCTCTACTTTTGCTTCTTCCCCTACCTTTGCCTCTGCCTCTACCTTTATTTTCTATGACGAGGGCATGGGATTGATCTCCACCCATGTCTTTCTTTCTTGCCTCTTCACTGAATAGAGCATCTGCAACCATGCTTATGG